ATTTTAGTTACTTCAAAGAGAATTATGTTTGTTAGTGACAAACTTAGATTTGGGAAAGTGTTAAATAAAAATGGCTCATGACATAGGTTAGTTTCCATAACTCCCATTAATGATTGTGCCCAATTCAGGTATCTTCATCTCTTAAGCAGGCTAAAATTTAAGCATTTAGTCCTCAAAATGTAAGAGGTTTAAATGCTACTTGAATTAAGCCTATGTGGATATATTTATAATTTTCTAATTAATTATTTGAAGCTTCTTGATTTAATTAAGAAATTGTTTTCTCACTTTTATCTGTTGTTAAAGATTGTTCAACAGTTTTAATTGATGATTTTTCTTTAAAATCAAACGTTACAATTTTATAGGTTAAAGACTTTTCCACCTTAGGAATAATCCATTTATTTAAGTCTTCTTTGTTTGCAGGATATTCCAACAATTCTGCATTTTTTATATTATTATTTCTCGATTGAGATCTTTGTAAATTTTTAGGCATTATGATATTATTGTACCTTGAAGAAGTGCTCATGAAAGGCAATTAATAAAATATCTAGAACTATTTTTCGTTAAATAATTTTAATAAGGTAATCTAATAAAAGTTAGATGAAAATATTATTGCTCCACTAAGGGTTTAATCCAACAAGCCAAGTCAACAAGAACCAGGTGAGAAAGCGTCCATCCCAGACATAAAAACGCCCACATGCGACGATGGTTACTGGATTATATTTAGCTTAGAGCAATAATATGATCAAACCAGAAGGTTGAACTTAGTATAATCCTGCATGTCCGTCAAGAATATTGAGTTGCAGCGCAACACCCGACTTTACTATGCAATATTTACTTATCTTGACAAAGTTAAGATACCATATTAAAATTATTCACACAAAAAGAGCTCCAAAAAAGATTTAGGTTACCATATATATATATAAACTCTAAAATTAGATATTTTTTGGATGATGAAATTGGGCTTGCCCAAAAATAGGGGGCAATTGATACGATGTCAACAAATTTTTATCATCCATCACAAATATCGAGGCATGATGTGAATCTCAAGGCAATCTTCTAAGCAAGGAAATTCAAACTTCAATAAAGAGTCTTTTAAAGCTCCGATTTCAATAAACACATAGTCAAATTGACCGGCTCGATGAGATGGACCCAATGATATAAAAACTAGTCCAATTCGAGTCAGATCAAATCATGAAACCACTATTGGAGGATTTTCATGCACATTTGGAAGGTCAAACTAATATCAAATTTAGTGAGTTCATAATCGAATCGAGCGTCTCGATAAGAAGAATTTAAGAGCCCAAAATTGCTCAATTTCGACATCGTTAAGGCACTTAAATATCCATCAAATGTCATCTGGTCGAGGGAAGCTCTCAGGACTGTCTGATCAAAATGTTTTATATTTTTGCATTAATTGCATCCAAAACACTTTAAATAGAGTCTCACCTCTCACATGAAGGGGGAGACTAGAGAGAGAACTCAAGGCTTTGAGAATGAGCTCAAGTCAAACATCATCCCTACCATCGTCGATCGTCATCGACCATCGTCAACCACCGCCAACCGTTGGCGACCACTATTGACCTTCGTCGACCGCCGTCAATCACCACTAACCTCCGCTGACCCTCATCGACTATCGTTGACCACTGTCAACCGTCGTCAATCATCACCTACCAGAAGCCGACAGTTGACGTTGTAATCTGAAAAATATAATTACCTTTTTCGTATGTGAGACAAGATATTTCTGCAATCATCAATTAATATTGTATTTTCGCAACTGGGTCAGTCCCCGTGGTTTTTCCCTTTCCGGAGTTTTTCATGTAAAAATTTCTAGAGTCATCTCTGTTTTTTTCTCTTCATCTGTGTGTATGTTGAATTCTCGTACAACGCTCAGACGATAAACCTTTACTCCACCGCCGCGGATTTTCCAGCACGCATCATATAAAAACAATTTTCATAATTTAGCCCCTCAAAATTTATAAGATTTATTAAATTCTGTTTAAATTAAATCCTAATATCAACCAAACATCTCTTCTATGATTTTTTTTCCCACAAACTATGTAAGAAGTGGCCATAGAAATACTGGAAATTTACATGCATACCACACATGCTTATGTATTTAAGCACCTAAAGTTTGATATTCACACTTACACTAATTTGATGCCTTGACTCTATAAATGAAAATATGCATTTTACATTAAAAAAAATAGTGATGATAAAATAAAATTTATAACCATTTTTGGGATATAATTTACATGGAAAATATAGAGAAATGAAAAATATTGAGTGAGGCCTAATCAAAACAATTCAGCATATATTTGAGATTATAAATACTAGCTTTTTTTCATAATTGAAGAAAACAATACCATAAAATTTTGAGCATTTGCTCCGTCTCTTATAACTCTCTTGTTACTACATTGAAATAACAATACATGATGATGATCATGATGATGATCATGATGATGATGATGAAGCGATGATGTTTGAATGACAATGATTGAAAGATAATAATTGAGTAATGACTGTTAAGAGATAATTATCAAATGATGATGATGCTAAGAATGTGATCAATGTGATAATGATGGGACACTATTATTTGGGTTAATGAAGTCAAATAACAGTTGTTGCTAGTAGTGATTGTATGAGTTATTTGCCGACTTGAACTTAAATATCTTTTAGATCTCCAAAATCTATCTAATTTCACGTGAAAAATGCAAATCTATTTATACATTTTTTAAGTGACATTAATTTGTCGAATTGAATAAATAGGAAACACAATTTGAATATTTTTCAATTTTTTCATAATTATCAGCAAAAACAACTTTTTTTTCTTAAAGTTTTGCAATCTAAAAATAAGTTTCATATTATTTTGATCTAAAAAGGATGATAAATCATTAATTTATATTGTAGCTTTTATATGTATTAAGACATGTAATTTTTAGAGAAGTTACTAGAAGAAAAATTATGCGAGAATGAAATAAGTAAGTTTAGAGGGGATTATATAGCACGTTAAACATCTATATTTATATATATCATGCCCCAAACTTTTTATTTACATATACAACACCCAAATCATTACTAATCCCTCAAAAATAAACATTCATTACTCTTTGATCATCGACATCGCAAATATCTCCCCTTCTCTAGTCTAGATGATGACATGGTCTCTCCATTCTTTGCTCAAAACCTTGGCATCTCTAAGTTTTGTTCTAACTACATCTAAAGCTACAACAAAACCTTCATTCTCTGCCTTTGCTTCACTCGAAACTACATCATATCTTCTTTTGTCCCTCCTTCACCATAAGCTAACATACCTTAATCTCGTAAGCTAATCATATTCATACCACCCTTAAGTTATATACGGAACTAATCCACATCCACTAAAGTCTTAAATGCCTTAATCATCAATTCTTTTCATATGCTTAACGAAATTCTCAAACAAGCACATAAGCACTGCATTTTCTTAGTTTATTGATCCCAGTTTAATTTGTGTAGTCTTCTTTTTATTATTATTTTGGTATTTAGCATCTTCCTTCTGGATAAGTGTGATTAACTTTTCAACAAATACTATTATGTGAATAAATTGTATCAACAATTCACGCTAACTAATCACTTTAAGGAAATCCAAGAAAAGGCAAGTGTATAAAATTTTTTACAATGCAGCTTTATTTATTACAGGCTTCGAAAATTTATGCTTCGGCCTCTCACGCGGATAATTTTTGGGTGCTATGTTTCGGGTTGAATTTTTAGAAGTCGAATTAAATCTTTAGGTAAGACACTACCCAAAGTTTTTTCTCGCATTTCATGGGGACTTTTTGATCTGGTTTGAGGTTTCATGTAGGCTCAAGTCTCACTCATTTCGATAACAGGAGAGCACTTTTAATTAAATTCAGTCATTACAGATGCTAAGTGCGACTCGGTGATATATATAAAAGAGATATTGTGTAAAATATTTTTATTAATTAAAGCTAGTTTTATGCTCTTTTTTGGTATATTTTTTGTATATATGCATTATAAAAGGACAAATCTAGTACTTGGAAGAAATTGAGCTAAGTATAGATTGGTGCCTCAGTGCCCAAAATTATGACCTCGATATCAGATGGATAGGAAGTTTCAGCCAAAATTTCTAGAGCAAGACACAATGGCACCAGAAGCCAAGTGCACCTGCATCAAAGACCAACTCTCCAACACCCATAGAAACAATGTTACCATGCTAAAAGCCCTAAATTCTAAAATCAGATTCACAAAAACCAGTGCTCGGTCCCAGCACCAACACGCCCAACACCAACACCTCGATGCTATTACTTTTTGAACCTCAACAGGGTGGTTCTTATGATGTGTTGATGGTTGAACTAGATAAAGAAATAAAAACTCTTGAAAATGAAAATGGAACTCTCTCTCTGAAGTCTTTTAAAAGCTTTGATGAAAGAATAGGAAATTGATAGGAAGTGATATTGAGTGAATGTTTCTCGCTTGTTTGAGTGTGAGTAAAAGAGTATGTGCTTGTAAGAAATTTTTGGTGGCGATCAAATATTGGAAACTAGGAGATTGTTTATCTGATTTTTCATTTCGTTATCTCTGAAGTTTGGCTTAAGTTTTGTAATACAATACAATACAATAGATGTTTTTGTTTAGAATAATGTGTAGCACTTAAAATTTTATGTTATAATTATTGAAAGCCTTTACTTCTCATTAATTTGTTAAGATTGATAGATTTCAATGTCCATTTGATTCCAGGTTTTTGTGAGTTCGAGCAAAATTAATTACAAATTTATTCATATAATACTTTCCATTGAAAGTCCAAACTCCCAATAAATACACACTAAAATAAGCTCCATTCTATCCAATCTAACAGCCCATAAAAATTTAACTTTCCGTTTATTTTACTAACAAGATGCCATTTTTCGTATGTTTTGAGGGCTAAGATTTAAAAAAAACTTAATCAGTCCTCAGCAAATTTATTCAACGTCCTCCAAAACGACAATCAGCCAAGAAAATGTAAAAAGTCAATCAATCAAGCAGAAGTTCGCTTTGCTAATCATGATATCCACATCAGCAGTAACTGTGAGATTTCAATTGATGCAAACCGGGCTCACAGTTCTCAAATTGAGGAGCTAGAAAGAGAACGATTCCTCAATTTTTGGTGGTCTTCCGCCATTTTAGCAAATCCTCTACCTGCTTCTCTCTAAAAATAGAAGAACAGAAGCCCAGTCATCACCTCTCTTCTTGGGATCCTTACTTCTCCCTACCGTTTCTCTGAAACGAAAAGCAAAGGAGCTACTTTGAAAGCAAGGGAGAAGAGAGAGAGCGTGAAATGTCGACCCCAACATCAAAAGAGGCGAGCTTACACTTGGAGGAGGGGGAGGAGCCGAGCGATTCGGAGAACGAGCTCAAAAGGAAAATGAGCAGTGCTTCTGTTTTCTCCACCGATGGTGGGGAGGACGATGACGACGATGGCGAGGACGACGATGATGATCGGAAGGGTGCAAATGTGGTGCTCGGCCCTCAGCTGGCTCTCAAGGAACAGCTCGAGATGGACAAGGTTCTACATTTTTCTCTTTATCTTCTTCTTCGATTTCTTAAATGGTTGGATTTAGGGTTTTGTTGATTAGGACGATGAGAGCCTCAGGAAATGGAAAGAGCAGCTACTTGCCGGCGTTGATTTGACTGAAGTTGGAGGTATGGTTGTTCTTCATTTTCGAGTTCGTTCTTCAACATTTCTGTTAGCTTTTTTTATGGCTTCCTTTCGTCTAGGTAGGCGGTGTTTGGCTGCAACTTGAATTTAGGTTAAATAGGATTTATCAAATCAAGTAATTGGATACTTTGTGCCACATAAATGAGCTCGTAAATGATGGCAGAAGATATTCTTAAATCCGACCTGCAATCGGATTTAGTAAATTCAGATTTACTTCGTAGAAGAGAGGAACATTGGAAGAAAAACTGGAATGCGAAAAAATTCAATTTAGCAGAGCATTGGATTTAATTTTCATTTAAATCCTATTAAAATTATGCTACCAAACACCTGCAAGAGTTCCTGTCAAAACCCCATTTCTCAACCTCTAATGGTACTAGAGCCTGGTTCCTTCTAGTATAAGAAATTTTCATGAAAAATTTTGATTATCTTAATCTTGAACCTTATGATACTAGTAGAAAAGTTATCTCGCTTGATAAAAGAAAACATCTTCGCTCCTTTATAATTATGTCTGAAACATATTAACATCTTGTGCATAGTGATTAAGCACATTTAAGTACTATTATTGATCTTTTAATCAGTTTATTTGAAAATTTGCTCAATCATCAACAAAAGTACTTTCAAAATCTTATTGTTATCTCTTACGGATTGAGAGAAAAAAAAAAGTTTTATTGTTAAAAATCTTTGGTGATAAAATCAGCTATCTTAAAGCATCTCAGGAAGATTTGAATAAAACTCTTTGAAATAAAATCTAGGAGAGATACAAGTTCTTCTAGAAACAAAGTCAGTTTACTGTAGAAATCAAAGATCAAATTATGAAAAATAAAATTCAATCTGATCTAGAAATACAAGAGATAAAAGATCGCTTAAAAGAAATTAAAGATCTTTTAAAAGAAATTAAGGAGCTTCATTATAATTGATGAATAAATTGAAATACAAAAATTCTGAATATCTTGCTGTTGTTACTCATACGTCTGATAATTCTGATGCAGAGAAAGGAAAAGAAGGTTATTTGGAACCTGAAGGTACTTCTAAATCTGATAGATTGCTTGTCCAACAAAATAATATTATAATTGCCCTATTAAGTAGTCTTCATAAAAGAATTAATTTAGAAAGAGCTGTAAAAGATATAACTAATAATACATCTGCAGCCAGTAATCTTGAGTGAATATTAAAGCTTTGTCATTAGGAAAAATAGAGGAAATTCAAATGACAAGAAAATGCTTTAGGTTTCTCAAATATGACTGAAAGATGAACCATTCCATTTTCAAGAATTTCTCAAACTATAACTGGAAAAAATTTTGTTTCTAGCCAAACCTGTACACATGGTTAGATATGATATTATATAGGCATAGTAGTTCAAGAAATGATTATAGACTTGAAGAATTGATTAATATTATCATGTTACAACTATATGTTCTAACGATCAACTAAACAGTGTAAACCCTCCCAAACTCTATTCTCATGAATTGTTTGGCAGTAATATTGGATTATTTAGACATTATAAAGAAGTACCACTGCATTTTCCTGACAATGCACAAATAAGGTTAAATCTGATTGCTCCAGAACTGCTAAAAAACTAAAGAAGAAATAGGGACATATTTATATCCACCTTGGACTTGCTCTTTTGGGAATAAGAAAACTTGTCAGAAAAAGAACTGGAGTAAAAGTATTAATATGTCTATATGATTCTAGATTTAATACTCCAAATGATGCTTTAATTGGAATTATAGAGTTCGTTATGAATAATAATATAATAATTACTTATATTGTTTCTGATATCAATATGACCATAGATGACTTTGAAAAATATATAAAAATGCTTATTCAACAAAAAGGATATGAAAAATTTCAAGGTGTTTTATCCTTGTCTAGATATAAATTTTCTTGGAAAAATCATGTCAAACATCAAAACAAAATTTTTTAAAAAAATTGAAAATAATATACTCTTTAGTATCTAAAGGATTAAATTTATTACACCAAAAGAAGACTCAGAAACTTTGGCCTGCTTAGAATGGAATAATTCTCCTTCGAAAGAAGACATCCAAACTTTGGCCCCTACTGAATATTCTACATTCAGAATTCTAATAAGAGTTTATTGTAAGTTTTAGATACTTTAAACCAACTATTCAAAATGAAGAAGAAACAGATCTAGATCTTATGGATATAGAAGATTTTGAAGAAGTTGATAGGTTTACTGAGAATCCTTCATGCTTCCTTGCTGAATTTGGTTTGCCTATAGATTGGAAGTCAATTCAAACTTTAGAAACACATTATAAAAAGATAGGACATTTGACAAAAGAATTCATTATATGCAGATGATGAGCATAACATCAGAATCTTACAAGAAAAAGAAAGCTTTGAAATAATGAATAGGTTCTTAGACAATTCAAGAACAAGTATAGGCCTAGACTTTGTTGATAATGAAGATAGCTCATCCTATAATCCTCAACCCATCCAACAATATTATCCAACTATTGTCCCTACTCCAACAAGAACAACAAGCTTTTATTCCACTAAATAGGGTTGGCTAAATGAATCTTTTTTCACCATTGTGTCCTATTGAGGGCCATATTTTCATTTAATTCTAATAAATTAAGATAATTTTTTTATACAACATGCCCAAGTCTTCATAGGTCCAATCTAAAGCATCTACTCCACTAAATGGATCATCAAACGGTCAAAGTTTTATAAAGTAAACAATGAAATAAAATATATGACATCCTCCTAGAATTGTTGTAAGAGTATATAATAAAAAAATATAATTAATAAGAACCACTGGAAAAAGAACACATGAAAATTTGTATTTTTCAAAAAATGAAGTATTGCTAAACATTACTGAATGTGATCCTCAATTATATGATAACCATTTAGAACAATGTACCACACAGATGACTAGGGATTATCAAAAAATTCACTAAGACATGGTTAAAAGTGATGAAAAAAATAATATGAAGAGGAGAAAATTATTTAGTAAATGTACCTAGAGTAGCTTGGGGAACTTATAAGAAAAGTTTTCCTGGTTAAATAGAAAATTTGGCTAATGAATGAAATAATATTTTAAACATTGCTTATCTGATTCATAGGATTTTAACTTTAAGAGATGCAAATACAAGTTTAATTTTTAAACAAGATGGTGCTATGAGAAAATTATAACAAATCCAGATTAAGAATTGGAAATATATTAAAATTTTGCTAATGATTTCTTAGCTTACCAACCATCTATGAAAATTATTATTTTGTAGAATTTGGTGAAAGATTATTTTCTAAATTATCAGGAGAATTAGGAAAAGAAATACATTATGCTCGGAAGCAATAAAATGTTACTCCCCAATTTGATAAATTTGGAGTTAGAATGTAATTTTTATTTGAAATTGAAAGAGAAATGTACTTATATTTCTATTTAAAAACAATAAAAAAGTAAAAAATGTGGATTTTGTTCACAAATTTATACTCCACAACAATATCAAATGAACCTTGAGACCAAAAAGAAAAATCTCTAAAATGATTCCATATAAGAAGATATATTATTTTAATCAAATCTACGGCTAGAAAATCTTATTTAAATAAGGAAAAACATGTGAGATTATATAATAAAAAAAGTTTATTCCAATAAACTTACTTGTTATGCTTGCAATGAAGAATGTCATTTAGCTATTACTTTTCCAAAATGGAAAAAAAATTATATTAAGACTGTTACTTTAATAGACTGCATCAATATAGATCTTGTTGAAATAAACTCTCAAATTTCTAATTCATCTTCAATTTATAGCATTTTCTCTTTAAAAGACAAAAAACAAAAACGTACTTACTAATAATTATGGTTTCATAAATGACATTTTAGACCAACAAGATACCAATTCTTATAATATTTTGAATAAAATAGAAGATCTCTTATATAAATCATGAAGGTAGTCATAATTGCAAGATTGGAAATGGTGAAAATAAAACTAAATATTATTATTGTCAATTGTATCCTGCAATTGATAGAAGATTTACGTGTATGATCCGCCAAATCTAACTATGCTTTTATGTTTGAATGAAAAATTTAACATAACCGACACAAAGACACTTACTTAAACTAAGAAAATCAGGTCATTGGCAGAATCTTGTTCAAGGCTATTAGAAGAAAGCATAGATCTCTTAGAAGAGAAACTAGAATATCTTTCTCTCCATGCTATTTCACCTAATCCCGATCCTAAAAGGAACAAAATAATTTTTACAGATCATGCCTCTATGGATCATGAAATTGGACATCCTCCCTTTATTTGTAACCTTGAAAAGTTATTTATATACTATATATTCATGGATATGAATTATCCTTACCAGTTTTTATCAATATTAGAGCTACTTCTAACTCCATTTCTACAGAACTCATTCATGAGAAATACCTCTTAAATTACTCTAAACCTAGACATGCTATCCAATTTGATAACCCACAATTAGAAATGAACAAGTTCCTCAAAAATATCCCTTAGCGATTACAAACACATTGCAAAGAATGGTCCAAAACTTATCCAATCAATGAAATTTGGGTTCGGCCTTTCAATTACTCTCACATCAAACTTATTCTCGATCTGAATTTTCTGCTCAAATTTAATGGTGCTCTCTTCCTTGCTAATGATTATTTGATTATTTTTTTTCCATTTTGCCGGTACTCTTACGCCCATTTTATCAAAAGATGAAATCTTGCTTGGTGAACACATTTTTAATCCAAAAGTTATATTCTCCCCCGTATCACTTGTACTCCCTACACCTTTCGACATCCCTCCTACTACTCCTACTAAAAGTCAAAATTATTCCTGTGGCATTCTCGGATCATGTAAAATTAACAAAACTTTGTGTTCTTTCTGATGTAGATAAACAAGATCTATTATTACAAGATTTCTTCGGTTACAAAACATTTTCTTTTCAGCACTTTGTTACCTCTAGACAACTCAAGAACTTGCTAACTCGAGAAGAAATTGATACCTGGCATTTTTAGAAA